TATAAAGGCTTGTGATTTTCCATTTAACGAGGTTTGCAAAATTGACACTGAAAAAGATGGTATACCATGGGCTAAGGATACAATTAGAAATAGTAAAAAAGTTTTTAAGAAATACAATTTGCTCTCATCAGATATTGGTGAAATGAAAAATCCAGACTTGACTTGTGATAGTAAAATATGGTTGAAAATTGAAAAACTTTTAGATGATAAAAATGATGTTGTTGATTTGTTTGTGGCTAAAGTAATGGAAAAGTTGCGTAAAAATACAGATGAGGTATGAAAAGTATTGCATTATTATAAATAAATATGTCAAACATCTTGTAACCATTTTGAGTCTGTGTATTTATTACATTTAACAATGTAAATATTATGATCTTTTATTTTCATTGAAAGATTTGTTCTATTATTTAAGAAGGAACCTAATAACTAACCTTTCGGAAATTAATAACTAACCTTTTAATGTTCATCAATTTTTCAGATAATTGTTGTTTATATTTTATTTCCACATTTGAAGGAGAGAGGTAGCTGCCATACCTTGCCCCATCCCGAGTACGCCCATGTTATTTTTTTTTATGAAATTTGCCATATCAAGTTAGTTCAAGAAGCATTTTATTTTCATCATTGGCACATAACAGAGATCATATAGTTCATAGATAGGGAACCTTTATATCATTGGAAACTGTGATAAGGTTAGGCAGTGATAATAGAGGCCAAAATAATTTACATTGTTCTGATTTTATAAATAAATAATTAAAATAAATAAATAAAATTTCTGCCTCTGTTTGGGTGCCAAATGTTCTAAATTATTAAATTTAAAAAATATTGAATTATAACTTCTATATGTAACGATAAATTTTATGGACGCTGAGGGCTTAAATATTTCGTGGACTGTGAATTACTAAGGATTAAATAATTGACATTGATACATTAAATATTTTCTTTAATCTCAGAATAAATTTATAAATAAACTAAACTAATTAAATTACTATTATTAATGTTATTTATGTTCTCGGTACTTTCCCTATGGTAGCTCTGATCTTATATATAATGCTACCAAAGTATGAACTCATATATAAACATATATATAAATTCTAATTTATTTTTTGAATGTGAATAATTGATAAACAAAAAATCATTACAACATATATATATATATATATATATATATATATATATATATATATATATATATATATATATATATATATATACACACACACACATATATTCACATATATTCAACTTAATTCTATTAATTTTCCAATTTTCATAACCTAAATAATTAAATATTAATTAATTCTAGCATTATATGAAAAAATTAACGCGGGGTGCATGTGGCCTCGAAGGCTGTGATCACAAAGACCATATGTGATCTCGAGGCCACAGGTTCCCCACCTGTGATATAGAATTTCTTTATTGTGTGTTCTTATTTCAGTTTGGTTAAATATATACAAAATTCAAGAATAAATGTAAACTGCTGTTTTAAAAAATCAAACACTAATGCTCTCACTAAATATTTAATTTTCTAAAACCTTAATTTTCTAAAATTTTCATATGGCCTTAACATCAAAATTAAGTGTTTATATCTTGAAGGTATAAAAAAACAAAACAACTCTTAAGCATAAATATAAGTATAAAATCTTTCCCATGAGTTTAGAACTCAATAAATAGATTACGTAAAAAAAATAATAAATAAAAATGTAATTTATTCATTTTATTAGGTATTTTAAAATGGTATTAATAGTAGATTACATTGGTTATATAATAGTGATTAAATACAAATTGGACTACTGTTCTTCACAAATTTTACTTTACTACATTATAAAATTCTTATCAGATAGATAGATTAAATCTTCAAAGATACTGCAAAGCTATATGCAGAAAACTGGAAAGCAATAACTTAAGAAAGGCACAGATGTAAAAAGGCTGGTTTATGCGGCCAAAGATCTGTAAAGTCAATGGAAAAAAAAATTAAAATTTTTATATTTCATCTTTTCCAATTTGATTATTTTCAAACAAATTATATATATATATATATAATTAATTATTGTCTCTAATAATGATAGAAAAGATCAGGTCTTGAAACACATTTTAAGAACGATTATTATGCATTATTCTACTGTAGGTTGTCAAGAAAGAAAAACATTGAATCTGTGTGAAAAATTTGATTAGAACTTGATGTAACACCATTGGTGTGTCAGGTGTGACCCTTTTCAAGAAAAAGAAATACATTTCAATCCTTTAAAAAATATGTTTTTATTTGTTTAACAATCCTTAATGACCTTTTATGATGCAACTTTAGTACATTATTGTTTTGTTATAACTCAACTCCTCAAAGGAACACAAGTAGGCAACAATGGTCATTTCCAACTTACATGAGGATTAACCTATCTAAGTGCCAGTAGAGGTCTCACCACAAAAAAAAAATATATAAAAATTTGTGAATTCCCTTTATTTCATCATGTAAAAAATGTTATGAAAGTATCTCAAAATATGCAGAACATAACAATACTCTTAGCTTAAAAATCTCTTATAACTATGTTAATTGTGTAATTATTATAATAAAACCTCTGTTAACTGTCCTTTGGATCCTTGGTAATGGGCCTAGTAGGAGTAAAAAAATCAACACTTTGGAACATAAAAGGAAGAACTTCATCCGCTATAAAAGTTCTAATCATGAAAAGTAGAGAAATTTAAAATTGAACATTTTGTAGATGGTTTAAAGCAAATGAAAATAACAGATTTTCCAAAAAACAACTTTGCTTTCATTGTTCATTTAAATTTAATTTAATTATATACTTCGACTTATGAGTTTTCAAATGCATAATAACTTCTTTACGTACATCATCAATCAGTGTTATTTTATTTCTGTTAATATTTCTCATTTGAAATGCTGACAGTATGAATTAACTAGGCAAAACAGGAACTGTCCATGGGCCACATCTGAGGTGAATGATTAACAGGAGTTCTAATATAGTTAAAATAGTTGGAAAAAGTATACAGTTGGCAAAAAAGTATTCGTACACCCTGTTTTTTGTATTAAATGGTTCACTATAATTTTTTAAATTTGAAATAATGGAAAATATCAATCATAAACTTCATTTCGTGTTAATTTTTTGTAGTGCCAAAATTTAAAATCTCATACAACTTTTACAACATTAATATTTCAATAATTTTTACTCAAAAAAAGTATTCGTACACTAGAGCAAGTATTAATAATACAATACTTTTTGTTATCAAAATGTGTTTTAATGTTCTATTTATAATTCTTAAATCAAGAGAATTAAATGGCAAAACTGCACAAGAAATAGCATATTCAGCTCAGTACTAAGGAATATTTCTTCGGCAATGGATCATAGGTCCAAAGAATTGAGTTCTCATCTATATGATGACATTGTAAAACATTGCCAAGAAGGTTCAAGTTTGCGGTATTTTGGAAAAAAGTATGGACTACCTCATACGACAGTGTATTACATTATAAAAAAATTTAAAAATGGATCAGTGGACAACAGTGCAAGAATCCCATGAAATTGTATGTATAGTGGCAAAAAATTCCCAAATTAAGTACTGTAGAGATTTAGGCTCATATCGCATCAGATTATGGGAAATATAGAGGTAGAGCGATAAGAAAAAATACTTCTATAAACTGAGAAAAAAGACGAGTTTGCCCAAGAACATCAGTAAATAAACCTTACACGTTTTGGAAGAATGTGTACTTTTCAGATTAAAGCAAGTATAATGTATTTGGATCTGATGGAAAAAAAATATGTTTGTAGGAAAAGAGGAAAGGCATTTGAACCCCAAAATATAAAACCCACAGTGAAGCACAGAGGAGGCAGTGTCATGGTTTGGGGCTGTATGAGTGCCAATGGGGTTGGTCAACTAGCCTTTATTGACGGGATTATGAATGCTGACAAATATGTGGGTGGACGTGTTGGATGCAATTAAAATAAATGCGCAAAAGTTAGGAATGGGGGACACATATATTTCAGCAGGACAATCCCAAGCACACGACCAATAAAACCAAAGAGTAGCTGCTATATAATGTTTGCAAAATGCTCAGAACATCTCCACAATCACCGGATCTTAATCCAATTGAAAATTTATGGGTGCTGATGGAATTGAAAATCTGAAAATATTCTTGCTCCTCTCGGAATGACCTAATAAAGAATCTTAAAAAGACTGGAAGAAATTGAATCAGGGGAAACCAAGAGGCTCGTGGAATTGATGTCAAGAAGATTCAATGCTGTGATAAAAGCGAAAGGGTACCCAACAAAATAAAATTAATTGAGACTGATATTTATTATATTTTGCTCTTCATATTTGAATATTTTTCATACAATATGAGTTATAAAATTTTACTTTTTTTTAAATTAATAAAAAATGAAATTTCTAATTGTTGCTTCATGTAGCAAACATAAAAAAAAGATTTTTTACTAAAAAATATTGTGTATGAATATTCTTTTTTGGCCACTGTATTTTAGAAAAAAAAAACTTGAGGGTGAATCTTGAAAAAAAACTTAAATTTTCACTTAGTTTTTTTTTATCCTTTAGTTTGTACTAAATTCATTTTAAATTTGACCAAATCTAATGATGTATCTATGTTAAGTTTTCATGGGATCAAAATAAAGAATCATATTAGTGGTCTGATAGGAATGTTTTATAGAAAGCATATAAATGAAAGCCACTCTACAGAATAAAGTTGCGTATATAATATTTTAAGAATAAGGAGCTAATGACAGACTAATGAAGAGATGCAATGTTGAAATAGAAATATTTTAGGCATAGGTTGGATGACATTGAAATAAGGATTGCCAGAGATAGAAAAAAATAATGATCAATTCATGATTTATATTTATTTAATCTTTTTTATTGAAATTTCTTATTCATCATTTATGTATTGCTTTGTAGGATTAATTATTTTTCAGACTATGGAAAGTATATGTCTGTTATCTGTGGTGATTTATATAATTGTTAACAAGTTATTTGTTACATTACAGACGGGACTACTCCCAAGTGGATGAGCAAGATCCTTTCCTACCTCCAACTGCTGCATCCCAGGCAATTGCTGCAAGGGCGCTACACAGCCAAGGGTCGTATGGCAGATCAATACAACACTACCCTATGCATGTTTATGCACCTCGCTAAATTTTTTGATTGATTTTATCATTTTAGTTCCTAATTGGTAGCATTTCTTTTTTTTTTTTTATATATATATATATAATTACTTTTTATTTTTATCTATTTATATGTTTTTCCATTTCTGTGGAAAGGGCACTGCCTGTTGATATTAGTTTTTAAATGGTAGTTGCATTTTCATTAGTTGGCCATTTTATTCTTATGGATAAATCTAACCACTAACCTCATGAATAATTATTGTGGTTTTTAGACTGGTGTTCATTTTAATAATACCAAAGGTAAAGTTTCATTAAAAGAGTTGATTGGAAATGCTGCCAACAATTTTTATTTTTCAAATTATTGTCATGGAGAGCTTATTACCTTAAGTTATTTTTTTAAATTAAAAATATTTTTCTGATCCTTTGACAGCTGTTAATATTTAATATTTCTGCATAGTATGAACTTATTTAATCAAATCAGTGCTTGGGGCATATTAGATATGCACTTAGCTTTATAGGAATTGCAATTATTAACTTATATTAATAATCTTCATCAAAGTGAATTTCGTTGCCAAATTCATAATTTCGCTTGGATGATTTGGAAATGCATTGTGTATTATATTTTAAATCATTGTTTTTAAATTGCTTTATTTATTTATTTTTCTGAAATATTGTGACCATAAGAAATGTAATTTATTTTAAGTCTGATTTATTTTTGTTTTATTTTAGTTGTAGTTGATTTTTAAAAGTTAAATTAAATTGCATGCACTAATTTATATTCTCAAATTTTTGTAGATTTAATTGTATTATTTGTTAAATTTAGAATTTTGGTTATCAATAACTGTATGATTTGTTCTAAAACAAATTGTAATATAGGTGTAATTTTGCATGGTAGACAAAACTTTCCCCGTCACCAAAGTTAGTTAAGTAAAGAAATTTGTTTTAGAAAACTATATGCTTTTTTTTTTTTCCATTTATAAAATGTTAAAAGAGATATAAATATTTTAGTTACTTGTGTTTTTTATTTTTCCTTTCATTCCTCCCCTATAGTTAATTTTTAATCAGTAATTATTAAAGATGAAACAAAAAAAGAATAACAAATGAATTGAATAATCAGTTTAAATGAAATTTAATTACCACAAAGATGCGCATGGCTTATTTTTTTGGAATTGTTTGGGACAGCTGTAATAATTTTTAAAAAGCTGAGCACGAAGCATGACTTCTTGAGCACATTTATGCATGATTTATTTTATTTTATGCTTATTATTATCCAAAAATAAAAATAAGGTCTTGATGATTTCTTGTATATATTACACATGTGCCATAGCTAAGCAAATGAATTTTTGCATAAATGTACAGAAGTTATTCATTTTATGTTTTTACTTAAGTTAAAAAGTAATTAAAAATTATTTTTTTTATCAATTCTTGATACCTAAGGGGAAAAATAAAAATATTTGTTAATTGAACTATTTATCAAATTTAATTTAATCAGTATAAATCACTGATCATCATTAACATCACCACATTGTCAAATCATTAATAGTTTCAACCTATTTCTATGGGCTGATATTTTTTAGTATGAAATATATTCATTTACTTATGTTACTTTACTATGGTATCTTGATTCATTGTTCATGTTCTTCGACAATGTTACATATTCTTAAAAAAATAACTATGAATGAGATTTCTTATTTTTGGATAAATTTGGGTATATTACCACTATAAAGTTAAGTATAGTATAGTCATAATAAATTGAATATATTTTTTAAAAATTAGTTTTGACTAATAGTTTGCTTTATTTTTGTTTTAAATTCACTGATCATAATTTCTTGCTTATTAAATTTCTTTTGATTGATTTGAATATTTAAAATGTTTGCTGTAGTGGCTATAATATAGAGATGATAGTTTAGAACCAAAATCTCATTGATTACAGAAATTATCAAATATTTAAAATGAATGAATCTTTATTTACTTAGAAAAAAGTATTAATTTGGTATCACCAATATTGGCTTTAACAATGTTTTTTTACATTACATTTTTAAAAACTATACAGTCTTTATATTATTTATTTACCACTTATCAGTGAAACAATAGTATTTTTTTTTGTTTTTCTAAATCTCAGGATTGATTTATTCTTCATAAAGTTCAGGATAGAAAACTTTGAAAAAATAATTTTTACCAAAATTATTGTCTGTAAACTATGTTCCCTATATTCAAGCAGTTATAGCGACTAAGTCATGTATTTATTTAATAATTTTTTAGTTAGTATTGTTTTCAATAAGTTATATTTATTATTCTGATTACATTCCATCTGAATAAAAAAAAAAATCTATTGATGAGATAGTGTAGAATTTGTGATTTTTCCAAAAGCCATTTCTTATCATATTAGGTTTATAATTAAAAATAAAAGTAGCAAAAAAATAAATAAAAATTAAAGAAAGTTTTAATTAATATATTGGATTGGATTGTTAATACTCATCAATATTAATAATGATTGATATACTACCAAAAAAGTATATTTATCTTTTCAAGTTAAGTGTGCCTAAAAAGAAAGTAATGAAAACTTACAAAGAAACATACAAATTTTTTAATTAATATAATAATAAATTTATTTATTGAGCAATTTTACAAATGCCTTTTGGCATATTTTGTAAATGTAATGTAATGTAAATGTAAATGTGAATTTTTAATTAAAAAAAAAATATTAAATGATGTCACCTAGTTCTGTTTATATTCCATCATTTATCTAAAACTAATAATCTTATATAATGAAGTTAAGAATACTAAAAACATAAAACAATTAAAATGTAAAATATCTAAAAGTGTTATCATCAGAAGTGAAACATCTATTTTTAGCATACCTTACTCATTTTGTTTACAATTTTAAATTTCACAGACTCTTAGTCACCTTAAGATTTCTGAAATAGATCTCCATGTTTATCTGATATTATCTTACTTATTTGAATTTTTTTAGTTGCTGATTAAAAAACATATACTGAGCCATGAAAAGAAAACGAGACATTCTGATTTAACTCATATTAGGTTGACTTAAAAATTCATAATAAATAATTTAATGAGCCTAATTGAACTCATTTCAATTAACCACTGAATGTATATATTTGCTTATCCTTCTGGTGAAACTACTTACCAATTTTTTCAATCATGAACAAATAAATCAGTTCTAAATTAAATTCATTTGCCTGTGGAATAAATAATCTTGGATTATTGGATTATAGATAGTGCATAATATATATATATATATATATATATATATATATATATATATATATATATATATATATTACTGTTTTATTTAAATCAAATGATAATAAACATATAGTAGCAATAATTTGTAATTGAGTTCAGATAATCTTTAAATTTATACTGAATGATTTCAGTACTTTCTTCTGATATGTGTTATTCTACTTAATTATATATCCTGTGTAGAAGAAATCTTTAGAAAAAGATTAGTCATTAGGATAAGACATGGCTTTTAGTGTATTAGAAATTATTTGTGCTGATGGAATGTATGAGGGAGGCCGTGTAACTTGACGCCTGGCTGTGCAGGGGTGGTCTCGGAGGTGGGAGTATCAGTGATCGGGGCGGAGCTAGCCAGTACGCGACTTTGAACCGGAAGTTCAGAACACTAGATCACCCTTCAGCATCCAGAAGAGCTGAAGTAACTAACTATGGTTTGTATTCATGGTTTATTTATATCAAAGATTATTTGAAAATAAATTTTGTAACAATAGAATAGTTGTAATAATTATTAAAATGGAATATACTGTTTACCATCAACAAAAATATTCTTCTTTTCTTCATTTTTATACAAATTTTAATATACTTTTTGTTAAAAAGAGAAGCATAATTAAAAACTGTTTTTATATAAATTTAAAAAAAAGTGAAAGTATTCAAGTGTCATTGGTAGATACATTATTATCTCTATCTCAAATCAAACTCTTTATAGAAATAAATAGTTTTCTTATAAAAAGTGTAAAAAAGTAATAAATAATATAAAAGGAATCATTGACAATGATATGATTAAAAATTGTATCCAACTATCAAAACTAAAAGATTTTTTTAATACCCAATGATAGTTATTATTGAAAAATGGATATCTTATCCGGTAAGATCTTAATGGGGAATCAAAGAAAAAATCACAATGTTAGTTTCAATTTAATCCTCATGAGTTTACCCGTGAGCTGTCAAACTTATTGTGGTCAAGCTATAGTATAAGTGCCACTTTAGGAGCGGGCGGGGTGGCCGTTGTTGCCCAGCAACTTGATACATTGAAAACTGGATAAAAAATAGTCACGGGTTCACATCCCGTTGCCTGGGGATTATTTTAAATCTCCACCCTTATCCTCTGGCCCGGGAAATCCTTATATAGCCTTAAAGGTGAGATAGGGGAGGACCCCAAAAAAAGTATCACTTTAGGAATATTATGACAAGTTTATCAAGGGATTTTTTAAAATTAAGGAATTAATACTGTAATTGAACTTTTATTTTTATTAATATTTAGTGAGCTTTTGTTTTATTAATATTTAGAGAGCTTTTTTTTTTCTAATATTAAACATAAAATCAAAAAATTATAACTGAATGTTTAAAGGATGGAAACAGTGGTTTAAAGAAAATTCTATTGATAATATGTAAATATGGAAAAATATATAATATGAAAAGAAAACAGTGCTTGGGGAAATGAATAAGGGCAACATTATTAAATGGAGTTCATAACAATTAAATTAAAAACACATTTAGTGGAATACAATCACAATAAAGAATGCAAGATGGAATAATTATATAGACAAAATTTAATCTATAAACTGAATTGTGAAAATTATGAACGTATTTACATAGGTGAAACATCTAAGAAACTAAAGGATGGTATTCCAGGTGATGATATTTCCCAGGACATCAATAATTACAAAAACATAAACAATAAAAATATAACCACAGTACCAGAGCACAATATAAACTTAAATCAAAAATTTAATTTTAAAAACGCAAAAATTCTAATAATGAAAAATATGCTAAAAAATTAAGAACCTTATAGGTGATTCATATGACAAAAGGTATAAAACAAACCTTAAATACCAAAGTAGACACAAAACACTTACGTATCTGTAAGATGGATATAACTCTAGACAAATGTGGTATCTAAACAAGGACTGTTTAGTAAACCTGATTGTGGAAAATAAAAATGAAAGAAGTAGCTTAGAACAATGAATAAATAAACAAAGGAACTAAATATGAGAGAGATAACTATAGGAAGGATATTAAAGTAATAATAAACAATTGCTAAGTGCAAAGTCCTTCTAATATAAGCTGTTTTCACAAATATGAGACAGGCTACTAGATAAATTCTCTAGATTGTCTCGTATAATTATAAATATATTTTTTTTTAAATTTCTTTATTGAGTATTTTAACAATCTGTCTCAATTATAAATAAAAAACTAATTTAACAACAATATCACCTTTTAATGAGGGCAAGGGTTTTGAAACGTTCCTGAAATGTTTAAGTGACATGTTATTATATGAATAATAAATATTAAAATAGGAAGTAATAGTACTAATACTAAAGATTAATAATAATTCCTTAATAAACCTAAAATATGTTAATTAATTAACTCAAACTAACCCAGGATTTCAGAGGGCCCACAGTAGTAAACATACTGTCAAAGAAATCCATAAAACAAATATCCTGTAGATCATTGACATGTAATTAATATTAAAATTGTTATTAAAAAAGTATAAAATATTCAACTTGACTACTTTTGCTTATATTGAAGATTGCTTAAAAAAAAGATGTTAAATACACCACAAGATGCTATTAAGATAAATCATACAGTAAAATAGACTTGATACTAATAAAAAAAAGTGAGTAAGATGAGAAAATTGATTTCAGGTATGGGAGGTAGACGAAACGAACCAGGTAACTCATATACCCTCGGCTCCCGGAAGTCGAGTAGGATGGATGGTCCCGGCCAATACAACACTCTTAGCAAGAAA